CTACATGAAATAGAACTCTTAATTCTTACTTAAGAATTTAAGAGTTATATATTATAAATGTGTGAGTTTTTGTGGGATTGAAAGACTAGATGTATTGTTTTATTTCTGAATTGTTAAAGGTATGACTACATTGAAAAACATTATCTCCCTCGCCCTTATGCCATTGGTTGATTTTGTATGTACCATAGGAAATAGTATGGAGTGAATCGGCAGGTCACAGGATGTCAGTCATTGAAATCCCATTGGATTCCTGCTCCTTCAGACAAATGACCAAATTAAGTCTAAAAAGAACTATTTCTGCCAGGCTTTATTGGAATTTCATCAAGTAGTAATACTGTAATGTTGAAGTTGAAAATGTCTAAATTTAAACAGTGTTTATTTATATTTATGTGATTTTTTTTTTCTCTTTTCAGGCCACAACAGCAATTGGTGCCATGACCATGTTTTCAAAACCAATAAAAGATCCACAGAGAGCCCACAATGCCATGTTAACAGGAATTACTACGATATTAGAGAGTCCAGCAAACTCCCCTTGAGTGTATACCAAAAACATTGGGGTATTCTCCCCAAATGGGGAAATCAATTTCTCAGAGATCAGCCAAAGACTGCATAAAATCTACTTCAATGTGTCTCAGAAACATAGAATGCTTGTCTAATATTAGTACAATATATATTTGGAAAATTGTATTTTGTTTCATTCTTCTGGGAATTACAGTAAATTAGAATACCAGTAAATGTTCATATTCTATAATTATGTGCCTTGTGTTTTGTGAAATGTTCTTAATAGATTGTATGCAAAATTTGAAGTCCATCCTTTGACACATTCTAATATAGCCCAATTTCTCTAAGATTTTGAAAAAAAAAACGTTTCTGTAAATATTTAAATATAGTTCAAGAAATAATGCAGTAAAATGTATAATATATACAGACAGGTTTGGAATAAAACACTTCTTGTGTTGGCTTCATTCGACTGTTGGGCTCGTTGAGGCAGTTCTTCTGAGAGAGCATATTATCACCAAAGAATAACCGTTTAACTTTTATTGAAAATTATTTGGCAGTGTAAACAGAAATTAATAATTATCTGCACTTAAATGTGGCGGATAAAAAAAGTTTATGTAAATGTTATGTATGTAAACACAACTTGAAAATTCCAGAATCACTAGTTTACATTCAAGTTACTGTTATTTTATTAAGCAGAATTAATGCCATGAAAACATAGAAATTCTATGACAAACTTACAATAATCAACTAAAGGATTGTTTTTGACTGTGCCATATTCTTATATACCAGTAGTAGAAAACACAAGATCTATACACAAATTTGATCTAATCAATTTTGTTTACTAACAATCTGATTAAAACACAGAATCTGTTTGATGTGGGAGATGGATTAGCCAATGAAATGGTCTGTTTAGTAGAGTTCTACACAAGGCGAGCACAGAATTATGGGAGACATTTATAGACCAGTAAAGAATTTAAATGAAATGGCTTTTAACATCCTACCAGTCATCCCATCATCATAAGTTTAAAAAGACAAAACCAAAATTAGATCTGCATTTTAATCGGATTGTTTGTTATATAAATTTAGAGGAACCTTCTTCTATATGTTTATTTATATTCTGTAGGCTATAGGCATGTGATAAAGATTCTATAATTTTTTTTTGTATTTACCGGTACTAGGGAAAAAATATGATACAAGTGTAGTTCGTCCATTATGTATATTATTTACCATGTATAATGTATTTTTTTTTTAAAACACCAAACTGTGTTAATTGTATTAGAGAATGAGAATTTAATATCAAAAGATCAGTTGAGGATTGACAAACAATTCTAATACTTAAAGTGTCCCTTAAAGTTAGGCAGCATGCTAATCTTAAATAAAGATGCACTAATTAACATTTTTATATGATGTGGATAATGAGTATTAGAACATTTTTTTAAGTGTGAAGATCATTGTATTTGCTTGTGATTTAAAGAATGTGTATCAGAGAGTAAGAATTTATAAAAGACCAATTACAGATTGAAAACAATTGTTGCTTAATCATTAAAGTGTCAATTAAAGGAGCTAAATCGCTAATATTAAATAATGTAATATGAATATGTATACACTGTAAACTGATTTACATTCAATCGTTTCCATTTTTACTCTTAATTTCAAATCAGTTATGTTCAGCGAAACACGTCTGAAGTCTCAATTGAATGGCAATCTCTAGCATCTGGTTATTCCAGTCAACACCAAAAGTATTTATTGCACATGCTCTCCAGATAAGAATATGGCGTCGCTGTTCGACATGACTTGTGGAATATGACTAGCCTCATTCTTCAAGTCCCTTGTTACAGATGGCGCTGAAATGCATTATGGTTCATGATTCGTGTACCAATGGTAAAATGTTTATTTTGTCTTAAATATTAGATATCAGAAGCCCATCTTTTCCGGTAAGATCACAGCATCAATGTTGATTTAAATTGACAAATGATTTGTGTTTTCAATGTCAAAGACTTTGTATGATTTTGAGTTAGAGACTTAGCTACTTTAAGTTAGGCAGCATGCTAATGTTAAATAAAGATGTAATAATTAGCATTTTTATATGATGTGGATAATGAGTATTATACATATAGTTTGAACATTTTGTTTTAAATGTGATTAAGATATTGTGATTTGGATCATAACATTTTCATTTCATGAAGAATTTCATGTCAGCGCATTTTCATGCATGTTAGATTTATTCCATGTATTTGAAGCTTTCTTATTTGACTACCATTGATATTATGTAGATTTAAATTTATTCTTGTAGGTTGTTAGTTGTATCATTTACATATTGAACTTACCATAATACTAATATTAGTTGTATTTAGAATATACCAATTATTGTTCATTTTATACAGTGATTAACAGTTTGATATTTTTATAATATTATTGTATTAAATTGTAAGGGTTTATTTTTTTATTTGTACAAAACATTAGGTGTTTGAAAAACGAATAATGTAAAAGGTTTGCTCTCCAGTTATATTCCTTGACACCTTATGACTTTAATTATGTATCTGTTCTTAAAACATCAAGGTTTTAAGACTTCACCCTTTATTAAACAATCAAGGACATTTGCATCCAGTTAATTATACCCGAAATATGCTTATCTCATCAGATATAGCTCTTGTTACAAATGAATTCATTCATTGATCTGACCACTTGCGATGATCTCCAAATTAAATTTTTCACCCCAACAAAGTTGGAGTTTGTGTGGATGAGTGGCTTGATGTGTAAAATCTGTTATTGATACACCCGTACATGGTTTGCAGGTGCACTTTGAATTATTGAAATAAAAATACACCATATGCTAGTCCCAAAATGACCTAATTTGTGTAAACAGGTTGATAAACCCATTTCTCTCTCATGTGCTAGTATCAGAATCCCATGCATGTTCTAATAATGATACTGATGAGTGAGATAGCTGTATAAATGTGATGTTTTGATACTAGTTTGGTGTTTTTTATAATCCAGTCTAATTGAGTAATAAGCCTTAAAGATAGTTGTAGATATAAAACTTGGGAACATAATATTTGATGTAAAATCTCTGAAATAGATCGTAGGAGTATGCATTTAAAATGACCAGACCTCTATGATTTGGGTACCCCAAAAAATATGTGTTGATTTGATTAATTATGTGTTGGTTTGCTTTGGTTATTGAATATCAAACTCTATAAATCATAGAGGTTTAGAACTTGAAGATGTTTTTTGATCTCTTTTATTCAAACGATATTATAAACTAAAACGCCACATATTAAATGGACAAGACATCTTGGATTTATGTTTTATAAAGGATATAATATATTGTTCATTTACTTGTCATTATTTTTTTTCTGTCTATACTCGAAAACTAGATACCTATCAAAAAGAATATCTGTATACATGTGGTTAAAACAACTTCTGCTTATTGCACAGATATTTTTATGACAAAATAAATCAAACTTACTAGTTGGGAACAATATTGATGAAAATAGCCTAAATCTCTTTAAAATTAGCTATGTTACCATAGGTAGATGGCATTCTTAATCCAATTGTACTTTACAACCCCATAAAACCGTTTGGAACTTTTAATCTAATTTAAACCAGTTGGAACTTATCCATCTACCTATGATAACCAATAAGTGATTGACTGTAACCCTTTCCGCAAATGATTAAAATGTTTTTTTGACAAAAAAGAAGTCAAACATCTAAGAATATAACTCTGTCATCCATCAAATTCTCTGTCGTAGTTTGCTAGAGAATGGTGACATGTAACTGACCTGAATGTCAAAATCTTTTGATGAATGACTGGATAAAATTCAAATTGGCAAGAAACATAAATCCTCAAGATGTTGTCTATTTATTGGCGTATGTGTGAGGAGCTGTTAATGATTGGTTGTGTAAATTGAAATTTGTTGTATATTTGTTGCACTTTTGTTGATGATAAAAAAAAAGAGGAAAATTAAAGAAAATATATTAACTATTAATATTGAGTGTTTTTGTGTATGGCACTGGTTTATGTGCTCTAGGGTAAATTTTTCCTGGACAGCAGCGTTACAACCTACTTATTTCAAATTTCAAATGTCATATTTTCTTTAATATGCACATCAATGTGTACGCAGGACCTGTTTTTCGTCTTTCACTAACATGGGGAAACCCCGTCGAAAAATATGAGGAGCTTTCTCGGCCAACACAGGGAGCGAACCCGAAACCTCCTGGCTAGTGAGAGCATCTTTCTTGCTTAGCCACCGCGGCAGTTGGAATTTTTAACAAGATTACCTGGTATGTGGAAATGGTACTGTGTTCATAAAGAAAGCATGACAGTGTGAAATTAAAGTGTATGAAGAAAGTCTGCTTCCCATGCGAAATTCACCTTTAAATACGTTTTCTTGACATTGCATATGTTTCAAAAATTTTAAGATGACCTATGTTAAACCACTTTCTATTTATTCTGTGCTGCCAAATGCATTGATACAACATGAAAAATAACACAAAGATGAGAAAACAAAATATTTATTTCTGGAGAAAAAACAAATTCAAAGTAATATCACTTTGACTAATTGCACACAATATTACCCCATATTGCAAATAGATATAAGTTATGATACCTTTAACAGAGCATCTGACATCACTTCTCATTCATTAGGGCAGGGCTAAAGGTAACAATTTTTCGGTCACATAATTAATAAATATTTAGAAGTTTCAACATTTTAAAATGGAGATAAAATTGTGCTGGATGATCAATTATAGGTTTCTTGCAGTTTTCTAACTCCAACTCTTAGCAAAAAAAAAAAGTTGGAATGAAGGTGGTATATGCCAACCACTGACTTTAAAGTTTGGGATTCAGGGGCAGTAACTACAAATAAATTATGGAAATGCAAACTGATGGAGTGACAAATCCATATTACACAGTTCTTAATTTAATTCCAGTTTTACTCTTTTTATCCATGTTCATAAGTTTAATACCATCCCAACTGAAACCATCATCCCTCTGTCGGAACAGTAGCTGTCCTGGAAATAGGAAATTGATTAACCAAAAGTCTCCAAACACAGATTGAAAATTCTTATCAATTCTCAGTGTATTTCGTATTGGGATCTCTTTTTGTAATTCATACGGAGTTATCCCTTGTGAAATAAGCGTAAACTGACTAGCAAAGTAAACAAACCCTAATGGTGTAAAAAGCGTTAAAACATACAGATGCACTAACAGAACAGTATGATGGAAGAACATATCCCCGACAATCGTTTTATAAAATGCAACTGGCCATGTGGCATCTGTTAACGATCCTGTTGGCCAGAATTTATCACGAAGATAAACGTATGTCAAATAAAAACTTAAGGAATTGGCCACCCAGACGTAAAAGGCCATTACAATGAAGTATCTCTGATTTTTAAATCCTATGCAACTTCCAGTCAAATAACAATGATGATCCCTTTTCAGTATGCACACTTTACAAATTTTACAATGATGTGATCGTGGGGGTGTCTGCATGTCACATAGATTACAGTATTTCCATGACAACCCATCTTTTTCTTGTAAACGGTTGCCATTTTGATCTCCTGGGTTGCCAGTTTCTTCAATCTCAATTTCCATGGCATCATTACACCTTCTTTGCATATATTGATCTGACTGCAAATAATTGGGAAACGTTCCTGTTTTGGTAAAATTTGGAAATGGTTGATCTTTGGCTGTAAGTAAAATAAATTATTATTAAAGTTACAACAAGCCAGATTGTTCACATGTTTCAAAAATCAACAAGCAATTGTCATGCAAAATACACCCACATTTCCAAGTGGTGGAAAGAGAACAGTGAAAATCAATAGGGTTCATCTTGTCATGGTCCCAATGCTTTACATTAATTTTTACAAGGATCGTTCAAGAAACTGCTGACGGACCGATAGACCAATGGAGAATGATGAAACTCGCTGGGGTTCATGGTCCCAATGCCTCATACTAAATTTGGCCGTATAAAATATTTCAAATTAATCATGTTAACAGTTTTGATTACCGGTAATCAGATTAAACCAAAGATTGTTTATGAGCATTGAGTTTTAAGACCAATTTCAAAAAGAATACAAAAACTTACTTTTAATAACTGATGTATTATACAGCATTACACATAACCAATTAGCTCCAGCCATAATAAATAAATAACATGCAAATACTTTCAGGTAATATATTGTCCACGGGTCATACTCTTTAAATACGTAAGGAATAAGATACTGCAGTGCCATGTAAACTTGTGAAAAAGCTTGAATAACAGTTATAATTCTTGATAAATTCTTGAATCGGTTTCTCGGTGGTGTTATTCGAATATGCTCACGAAATTTATCCATTAAAGACATGTGTTTTTGGGCATCTGTTTCTGGCATGTTGATTAAAGTTGAATTGACCATTTTTACCTGTAAACATTAATGATCATTAAATAATAATAATAATGACTTCATTCAACTACATTTTAAGCTTATTTACTAAGTCCATTTATAAACTTATTAAAGATGCATTATGTAATAGTTAAATCTGCATATTGCAGGTCTTTATTTTGGCTTCAAATGTTATACAAACTATTATTTAGACATTTATTGACATGCCAAGCCTATAATCAACTCTCTCTCTCTAGACCATTGGATGGCCAAGATTTAATGGATTAGAACACTTGCGACATTTAACAATGTAATGAATGATAAGATAGATTATCGAGACAAGTTTAGTAGTCTTACTGTTGCTACAATAATAAACAATCTACATTTCATCTTCAAACATCAATAAAAAAAAATTGCAACTACATGTATGAGGAAATGAAATTGAAGCTGTTTTCTTGGATTTTTGTTTTGCCTGTCTTTTACTGGGCATTTGTCCACCTGCACTGTTTAATAATCTTCTCCAATGTCAGAGAGTGGATAAAATGAAATGAAATGGGGTTTAACATCCTACTGTTCTGCTCCTATGCTGGGCTAATGAGGACGGGCATACGCCATACAGTGTGCTATGAGGGAAATTTTGCCAGGGCAGCGGCACTATCGCCTACTCTTTTATCGAATTCCAACTGCCAAGGGATCTTTTATGTGCATTCCAATGTATAGGGCCTACACGGGACCTTGGTTGTCAGGCCCTCCGTCCTGCATCACTGACAAGGGGGAACTTTCTCTACCAATGCTGGGGTCGAACACCCGACCTCCTGGCTAGCGAGCCAGCGTCTTACCCACTTAGCGACGTGATCCCCAGAGAGTGTGACAACAAGCAACCAAACAAAAATCTTGCACAGAGCTTGCAGATGGATTGATATTATCATACAACAGATAGTAAGAATTTTATCTCTACGTATAAGTATTATATTATTTATGAATTTGCATTCTGTCATTTTTTGTTCAGTATATTCTGCATATAGGTGGGCTACGGGACATATTCCATTTTGTTCAAAATATTGAAGTCCTAATTACGGGGCATTCAAGTTATGAGCAATTTCAAATAAAAAATATATTATGTAGATTACTTACATTCATGTAGATCTCTGTGTTTTGGGTGGTTTTTTTTTCCGTTTCCTAACTTAAAGCTTGCTCAACATTCCCAAACGGAGAGCTACCGGTAGTGTAAATTATGCGCTCCCATATGCAATCAGAAAGTATATTATTAATTTATGCAGAATGGACCTAACACATAATTAAGTATTTCCATGGTAGTCATATAATATATTAATTAACGGTAAGGCAATCAACAATTGACTGGATTAAAACTTACGTTATAACAATAACGTAAACAACACGTGCGGGAAATTGTTTATTTACCTGTGTTTCTAGGATACAGGGGAGATAAGAGGAACGGTTATTGCACGCGTAATTAAAGGGAGACAAATCCATTTTTACTTACCTGTGACTAACCTCATTAAACAAGCACAATAAAGGCTTCGTCTGAGTCAACTTTCAGGTGTGTCAGTCGTGATTATCAAGCCTCTGTCACTCAACGGTAAAATATAATAACATTACACCTCGATCATCCAGCCAACATTTTTAAAGGATGACCTAATTTATGAATCCACACAGGTAGAAATATTTTAGAAAGAAAAATGGGTGAAAAACCGGACAAAAAGGTGGTTATTGGACTTTTAGTACTATGTGTGGCATTTGGATGTTTATTGATTGCATTTGCAAGTCCCTATTGGGTAGAATCGTTTGAAAAGTTCCAGGGAAGATTCACAAAAATCGGACTTTGGGAAGTGTGTTTCAACGATTATACGTTTTACAAAGATTATAACGGCAAGCGTTTCCTTGGATGTTGGTATATTTTTTCACCTCAAATCCGACCAATTTGGGAATGGGTTTCGCCACGTAAGTATAATTAATCAAATTCTTTTGAAATGACTCCTTTATTTTTCATTTTTATTCATAATTTTACCTGAAATTTTCACCTGCACAGGTAAGTCATAAATACAAAATGGCGTCCACCAATATGACAATGTCGTCTTATACAATTATATGTTTGAATTTTACGTTTTATGCCTGTTAAGTGTTATAAACTTGTTTCTCTAGACTCTCTATTTGTAGAATAATTACAAAAGCTGTCTTAAATTGGCGAATCGATGTAGCAAATAGATACCACAAGAAAGTGGGATTCGTAAAGGAATTTTCCTTCTTAATTTGATCTGATATGAATATGATACAATAGTTATGTCATGAAAAAAGGTGGTTTCAATTCACATAGCATACAGGAGATGATCCACCTAGTAGTATTACTATATTCTTACAAAAGGTAGATAACGTTGACAGACTTTATACAAGAACCAGGGGCAATTTAATTAAGGGAAAACCAGATCCAACTGCCATTTTTTTTAAATAACTTTGTTGAACGTTATATAGCTTATCTGATACTTAATGATCAGAGATGTATAATTTCCGTTCCAACAAAATTAGTAAAAAACATTACGGAAATATACCTACCACAAATTATAGTATAATAATACGCAGGTGTCTGGGACTTTAACAAACTTTTAAAAGTTTTGCTGACAGATCTTTCAAATGCACCACAAAGGATAGCATTCATAAAGTACATGTAACTGCAATAATCAAAACAAGATTGTACATATACACAGTCCTTATGCCTATTATTGATACCAGTGGTATGATTTACACACTACCCAAATACACCATTATTTCAACTGAAGTACATTACAGTAAGTTACACTGGTATTGATTATTTACCATTCCTTATGCCAGCTTGTCCTTTTATATTTAAAATCATAGCATTTTTGTGTCTAATGCCATGTTAAAATAATAGTGACTTTGGTAAGATTTGTGTATTATAGAAGTTATGTCCCTTGGTTACAACTTCCAACTTGCTTGGAAATCACATTTTGACTCCAAATTTAAAATTAAAAATGACAATTTTGCATGAAAAAAGGCACATTATTAAAAATCGATATAAATTATTGTGATGGATTTGAAATAATGGTGGATTTGGGTAAATTGTGCTACCATTAATACTTCATTTCTATAATCAGAACATGCTAAATATGGTCCTTTCGAATATTATTAATACAACATTTTATTTTCATTCTGTTTTAAACTCTCACTTTATGATATGAGAGTAGCCCTGTACCTTTTGCACATTGTTAGGATTTGCCTTCCAGAACTGATTGAAAGATGGTGAGCCTGATATTGCAAATCGTTGCTAATGAATATAGGCCTACTCCCTTACCACTTTCATGAATCAGCAGATCTCATCAATAAATGACACGTTTGATACATGTATACCAACATTCTATCGAAGATCTGATTGTTTATTTAAAATTTGTATATATTTCAGCCTGGTTTATTGTATGTCAAGTAGCAGTGAGTTTTTCGTTGTTAGTACAAGGTCTAATAGCCCTCATGCTGATACTGTTCTTAGTTCATCTTTTCCCTGAGCATCTACATAGATTAATTGTACAATGTTCAGCTCTGGGTTCATTTATATCAGGTATGATCCATTATTATTAAAAATCATTTCTTAACTTAGAAAGGGGGTTGGGTGGCCGAATGTTCTAATGTGGGCACGTCATAAGGTTTGGTATTGAGTCGAGAAGTAGGATCGCCTGCTTAACTTTGTAAGGTTTTTCAAATTTGCTACCACTGCTAAAGACCCCTATGAACAAGCAGATTAATGAAATAAAAGTGTACCATAAGTTAATATCGAAATTACCGTGTCTGTGTTCAGTGGACAATAAACATCATTTCTCTCTTTACCTTGGAGTATTATTGCTTGAGTCTTGGAGGGCAGACAACATTTCACCTCACCTCATTATCAGTTTTATGTCTAAAACTGGTCCAAGCATACATATGAGCTACAAGGTTGTGGTCTAACATGCAATCTGTATCATAAGTCCTGTTATCTATGCAAATCAACGGTTCGATCCCAGGCTTATACATGGCAAGTAACAGGATCATCTACCTTTAACCCTAAGGTTCTTATTTGATGTTTTCTTTCAGTTTCAAGGACATTGTGTGAAAGCTTATTTTTTTTAAACAAAAATGTACCCTTCGTGTATGTTAGTTCTCAAATGATTTAGTTAGTACTGCATGTACTTCAACTCTTAAGCTCTTATTCTCCTTAACCTCCCTCCCCACTGATGTGCCTTATATTTTAATGTATTTAGATTATGATCCTTCCTGTTCCCTTTGCAGTTAAACAAGCATTATCTAAGGATACCAATTGTCAGTAAGGCATGTACAATAACAGTTTTAATATTTCTTTTTAGGATCAGTATTGTTCATTGAGCTCTGTTTATTTGGTGCGAAGAAGGAGGATCGAGACTGGGTCCCCAGACCAGACATGAACTATCTCTCTTGGTCGTATGGGTTTGCCTGCATGTCATTCATATTTAGTATGCTAGCTGCATTGGTGTTATATCTTGGCAGTAAAAATTTTCTGGTTAAAAACCAAGCCTATAATCAACCTGGTTCAAGAGGAACACATTATTAAGTATTTTTATAAAAAGAATTAATGACTAATGTACTGTATATGACTGAAAAGCACCCAGGAACATCAAAATCATCATTCTTGTAAGTGGAGAATCATTCAATAAATTGGGATGCTTCAGGTTTTGTTACTTCTTCTATTAGTAATGTCAGGATGTAGCATGTGGTAAAATATTTTGAAGTTGTTTTAAAATTAGAACAATTGCCGTGTGCATTCATTACAATATGTCCAATTCATTAAGTCAAATACAGTATTGGTCATACATGTAGTTTATCCTTAATTATAACAGTCAATCATGGAAGAAATTAAATTCAGTTTTTACCTAAAAGAACCTTGATATTAGCTGAAAATCTTTTGTTTTTTGCTATAACTATGCTTCAACATGGTAAATAATAGATAATTATTGTATTACAAGTAATGTTGAGAATAAATAAATGTTACGCTACAATAATTATTTATTATTTTGAATGTTATCGTAATATCTATATTAGTTCAATAGTTGTTGCAAAATTAACAAAGCAGCAAGAAATTTTTGGGCTATTTGTCTATTTATATTATATGCCCACATTTAATGTGTACGCATATTGTTGCCACTTAAGTGTCTGTCAATGTGTCCATACACTCTACACACTACAGTTCTTTTCAAATTCAAAGACATTGTTCAAAATATTTTGATTGCAAAATTCTATGCAAATTGTATGGTCATTTATTTCCATCAAATTTGCTCTGGTAAAAGTTATGAAAAATGGAGATAATCAACTTAATTGTGGCAAAATTCACTATGTTAAAGATGCATTATCTAAGAGCTAAATTGCTGGTCTTTATTTTAACTTCAAATGTTAGATAAATTATTATTTAGATTTTATTCACATGACAAGCCTGCAGAAATCTCTACATCATCGGATGGTGGAGATTTAAACATATTGACAGATGATTGCCATTTACTGATTTAATTCAAAAATGGTGAATCAAGGCAATTAAAATCTTGATTAACAAGTACGTTGCTACCATAATAAACAAACTATGCCACAACTTGTCAAACGTCAAACAGTGATAACTTCACTCAGAATAAAGTAATATGATTGAAATTTTCATTATATTCATTTTGCATTATCTATCTTTGGACTATTATCGAAAAAAAAACATCCAACACTTTACATGTATTTAAATCTTACATAAAGCATCTTTAAATAGAATAGTCCAAATATTTTGTAAATATGATTTAATTGTACAAAAATTAAAATTTCATTTTTTTTTTTTATATTTGTATATTGTTTATGTGTAACTTCAACCCTTTTTTTAGATAGAATACATGGGTGTTAAATAAACCCTTCAAAGTCATTTATTCGATTTCTTATTGACCTTACAATTCAAACTTAGACATCAGCACTCATACATGCAATCTGATGTATTAACAACTGGTTAAAATTGTCATCTCAGAAGTTTAATATGGTCGGCAACTTGTTTTGCTTTTTAACTAACCCTACTAAAGATTTACAAGGCCAAAAGCAGATGTTAGTTGTTTTGATCAGCACTAGTTTTAACAGATTGCATCGAGTTGTCACAGAACAGTTTTTATAGTGCTAATAAGGTTTTTAATTTTTATGGATAACTTGCTAGTTTTGATTTCAGATTTAACAAGATCAAATCATGATTATTTAGTTTAGTCATTAGCATATTATATAAGAGTAGGTAAAAGTACAATTTTATAATTATCATCATACAATACATTCCAAACTTGTATATAGATTAAGATATTATATTTAAATTATCTTTCTATTCTTTTTAAGTAGTTCTATCTCAGTTTTGCCAGGGAAATCAAAATTAAAATATTAAACCCTATATAAATATACTGAGTGCTGAATAATACTTGCTTTTTTATGGCAATTTCATTAGCTATTGGCCAGATGTAAGTTGTCTTGTGTATGACAAACATCATAATCCACTTCGCAAATAACATAAAATTCACATTTAGGTTGATTAGTAATATTAAAATCATTCCTCCATTATTTTTTTATGCTAGGTTGTATAATGTATATATAAATAACTTTTTTTTATTCATTATCATTCTTAAATCATAATTTTATATTATAGCATATATTTTAATAAAAAATATTACTTTCTCAAATAGTTTATTTGTAATTGATTTGCAGGGGTTGCCAGTGTGGTGATAATTGCCTTTGCGTGTGGGTTTTCTCTTGTTTTCATCAAATTGCTAAAGACCCCTGTAGACAAGCAAATTAACGAAAAATGAATATTCGTGCAAAAATACTTCGTTGTATTTTGTGAATGTTAACCCCATTTACCTTGATAGGACCAAGGATATGAAACTGAGAATATTAGCTTGAAGCAGAGGTAGAATGGAATCTCATATAAACGTATAAACACCACATATTAAAGTTATCCCTTAAATAGACATACAGGGAGCCACAGTGGCTCAGTGAGTAAGACTTTGGCTTGGTAACCTGGAGGTCCTGTGTTCAATTCATGTGTTGACTAAGACAGTTTATTGGGATTTTCCAGCGTAATTTCCACTTGGTGCATGACAGAGGTCCTGGGAATGGACAAAATATAGTCATTCAGATAGGACAAAAAAACGAGGTCCCGTGCACATAAAAGAACCCTTTACAGGTGGAGAGTGTAGGCTGTAGTGCTGCTGTCCCAAGAAAATTTCCATCATCGAGGGTTGTATGGCATATATTCCCATCTGCAAGTATTTCGTTGCATATTCAAAACCATAAGGACTCTTGTACAATAAATTGTGCCCGGACTATGGGAACCTGAAGCATACCAACATTTCTATAATTTTCCGGGTCCACTAATAAGTTAGACCTCATGGTCCACAATACGATAAATCCGGCCTTGATCCTGTATACACATGACGTCTATATAAATGAAATGGGGATTAACTTTTTATTATTCTTCACCGACTGGGCTATGGTAGTATAATGGCAGATATTGTAAACTTTATTATTTTAAAAATGTATAACGAATATAAAACAACATCTTAGCAATTATACGCAAGGCATTTTGGCTTGAAAGTTAGGCGGAAAACATCATTCAATTGTTTAACTATCATTTGAGAAATTCATAGAAATTCTGTCAGTGCCAACACTTTAGAATCTCAAACACCTTGCAGCGTTGATGGTACATTGTGTGTACGAAAGATGCAAATGACGTTATTTTCTACCCGAATAAATACTACAGATTAAAATGCAATAAATAATACAAGAAATTAATTGTAAAACAGGTGGCTCCCTGCACCCAGCAATCATCATCATACATTTGTAAATTTATATACAAATGAAGACAAGAACAAACAATAATACCGCCAATTCACAGTAACAAACTTTTATTATCAGTTTTCTATATTTTTAATTTCAAATCTTCGTATATACAATAATAACAATTCAAACATAATATATATATTTACAAAACAATATAAAAATAAATAAAGAGGATTATCAAGGTGAGAATTATAGTAATCATCAAACAAATGTGCAATAAACAGTTATTAATTTATTTTGGTGATGTCTCAAGTAATCTCTCAGTCTTTATTTTGCCTGGATTTGAAATAATTTCCACTAAGAAGGGGTTATGTCAGGCGCCATATTTACATAAACTGGGCCAATAAGCGACAAGACTTCTATTTGTGTCCTTTATAACAATAAATCACAGTGGATAGGATTAAGAAGTTTATCCACAGGTGTGAGATTATTTTCTGGGAGTGGGTTATAGACATAGTTTTTTTTTTAGTAAACTATACCACAAAAGTAAACAAAAAAAGTTATCCTTTTTCTAGAAATTGGACACCTTTTTGCAATAAAAAAATATCGGCCAAGAATAAAATTGTTTTTTTAACTAACAAATTTTTATTAAATAACGATTTAGGGATATACATGAAATCAAGTTATGTTATACATCTCTCCTGCTTCGTCTACATTTTCTGTGCAAATTACTTATACCCATCATATCATATATTATAAATCTTGTAGGCTAAATTATATGATTTATCATTGTTAGTACATACAAAAATCTAGAAACATTTTAATCAATCATTTTAACAAATTTCAATTTTTTCTTAAAGCTATAAAGTTAACATACATAGTATAAAAGTGTGATTGAAGTAATCTCTATAGGTAAGAAATGAAAAACTTAATGTAAATTTATATTACCACCGACTACAAGAAAAATACCAGCAGGGTTGCCAGGCTACAAACATACACAGAAAATGAGAGAGAGAGAGAAATGGGGTTTAACGTCCACTCGACACAAACTAGGTCATTTCGGGACTAACATATGGTTTAATTTTATTTCAATAATTCGCTTGCGCGTAGGGGTCTTTAGCAGTGGGAGGAAACCGGAGGACCCGGAGAAAACCCACGAGGTTGGACAGGCGACCCTACTCCTTGTCACGTACAACCGGGGATTCGAAACCACGCCAGTTGACTAAATGACAGGCCGTATGATACAGCGCGCGCGTGCTAACCATTCGGCTATCCAACCCCCCCACAGAAAATGAGCATTGGATTATAAATACATTTGACAAAGAATAAGTCAAGGGGAGCTCATGGTAGAAATTATCAAATTTTAATGATTTACTTGTATAATGGCATTTATATCATACTCATGGCAAGATACTACTCAACAATATACATTTTAAAATCTCTTACATTTTACAAGAGATGGATAGAGAACAAATTAAAAAAAAAAAGCGATTTTGCATATGATCAGGGGTCATAATCCAGGATGTTATAGTTTGAAATATGCAAATATCGAAAGGAACCAAGACCTTTGGATTATAATCATACATTTCAAATTTCATCAAAATTTGATAAAAAATTTGACCTCTAGAGTGTCCACAACCTTGGTATTCATACTTTTACACTATTTGCGTACAAGGTGCGGCCATTTTGTCCTGCAGTTTCGGTCAGATTTTGACAAAATTTGAACTAAACCTTCATTGATGTGTAACGGTGATATATTTTAAAGTTTTTTGAAACTGTATACAAATTGTCACGTCTAGCAGGTCCACAAGCTAAAAATGCGATTTTTTTTAACAATCTGGGGCCAAAATCCAGGAAGTTACAATATGATATGAGCGAATATCAAAAAAACCCAAGATCTTTGGGTTATAAACCTGTATTTCAAGTTTCATCTAAACCAGATGAAAATTGTTGCCTCTAGAGGGTTCAGAACCTTGATATACCATATATTTACAATATTTGTGTACGAGGGGCATAGTTCATAGTTCGAAGTAAACAGCTCAAACTCAAGACTGGAGTAATTTCAGTAGTATGTGCAGCATGATGTATATTCACTGATGCCACGCCACATGCGAGGTAATTCTCCCCCATATGACATAACCATGAGGGGGTTTCTCACAGCAACGACATTAGTTCCAACTTTGTTTTTGTTTGCACTACTGTGTCAAACCTGTCATACACTGTGAGTTTTTTTTTATCCCCAAGCACTGTCTCAACAGCAGTATCATATATAATAATCATTCGGATTCCATGTTCAAAAAAGGAGAAATATTCTCTGGATAAAAGTTCTGGAAACTCTTCAATCTCTCTTCCTTTCTACATTAAGTAGTTCGCATCTGTTGTTTGTCTCGTCTGTTGAATAACATCTGGATTTTTATTTTTCGGACAACAACAACAACATGCCAGCCATCTCTGTGCTAACCTTACTCTTTTGCCAAATACAATGTTAAAATATTTTACAAGAGCCGTCATGGCAAATAATAACCCAAACATGGTACTGACTGTGACATATATATGTAATTCTCGTACATGACTCTTCGGCTGTATAACAGAAAAATAACAGTGTGAAATGACAGGAAAAATGATACACTTTTTTATTAATACCAAAACAAGTATTCTTCTGGACTTAATTGATCAGCAGTGGATTTGGTTAGGGTTAGACTATGCTGTCAATATATTAATTATTTCTCTGTGAGTAATGTCTGCATTGGTAGTTAGCAACACACATCTGCATAGGTTCCTAAAACATTCCTACAAAATCTTGTTCAATGTTTAAATTTGACCCTTCTATGTGCCCCCCCCCCCCCAACGTCTTGGAAACATGTAGTGACGTATACGAATAATCAACACCAAACCCGATAACTACCAAATTTGGTTGAAATCCATTGTGTAGTTGGGGAGAAGAAGTTGAAAATGTCCACAGTAGGATTTAAACCCAGAACATTTTAATTGAGAGGATAATGGTCTGCCACTTGACTTCTGCTGCCCTGTAACTTGACCAGCATTTGAATGAAATTTTATGGCCTGGCTTTAACTTCTTTAAGGGGTAATTATTTTGATGGCTTGGCTTTAAATCGTAATCATTTTTCCACAATGCATAAGGAAATTAATGCAACTGGTAATGACTTGTATACTGTTTAAATGGCATTTAGTAATTGAACACATTAAAATAAACAACAGTTCTATAGATAGAACTCAAATTAACATATATCAATCTATTGTGGTGTAATACTTACAGGATATTTATCAGGCGTTGTCCAGCCAATACCATACCCTACTATTAACAATATTGTTACACACATATATAACAGAAATGTTATTATTGTCAAATTATAAAACCGTGCCATCTGGAAAAAAATAATTACGGTATATATTTAAACCTACATTATGCAAGAGCTAAATCTGTCTATTGCAGGTCTTTCTTTAGGCCCGAAATGTTATCTAAATTATTAATTTCACATTAATTAACTTATCCAGACTATAATCAACTCTAGATGGCATCGCTAGCCTGCGATCGTAAGTGGATTGTGATCTGATTTACTCAGATTTACTGCATAACTTTCTTTCTCGATTAAACGATTAAATGGATAATCGAGACTATGCTGTTTAACGTACTGGCTTTAGTAATGATGACCGAGGCTAAGCAGAAATTTTATACGCTTAGTTCTTGGTTCATAGTGGATCAATTTGAATGAAATTTTCAGCAAATTGCCTTTATGTTATCTAGTTTTTAATTATTATAGTGAGAAGTGCCAACTCATTATCGAATCTCACATAATGTATCTTTAAGTCTATATCTATTACAGGAGTCAAACATTTCACAGAGTATCTGTGTTGATTCAAATCAGAGAACATGAGATCTATTACACTTCGAGAAAAACTAAATCATCCTGTTGTCAAGCCGTCTGAATAATTTCTAAAGTCAACTTGTTGACATAATATATATATATAAAATTATATAACCTTTGTATTATTATAGCAGTGACATGTGACACATGCCAGATAGTCTGCTTACTCTTTTCTAAATGTCCAACACCAATACTACTTTGTCATAGATACACCAGTTATTTTAACACATTTCCCCGACAAAGTCCACTTTCTACCACACTATTTTGCCACTTTGAGGAATTTGATTACACATTAGGAGCGATGGCACTATCATTTGTACACAATTTAACTGAATTATTATCAAGGTGGCCATGGCTGAAGTTAACTTGTATTTCAACCAACAGGTTTTGGTGGGGTTTTTTATCACCAAGAACGTAACATTCATGATTAATGTTATTAGAAAGCTAAAAATTAAACTGAACAGACTTTATACTTACTGTTGTTTCTCTATTACTGATCGTAGCCCTTATAGCTGTACTACCTGTTAACACCATCTATAATAATCAAACAAAATTATTGTACACAAATATGGGAGACACCTTAAAGAAAGCCTATTTACAATTTAAAAGAAAGTCACGCACTGCATGGAAATATGCCCACACATCAGAAAATTCTCTGAAAGGAAAACATGGATGTGGACCAAATTTGCTAATTAAGCAAAGGGGGGATACAGGCCTTCACGTTTGAGGCGCGCTGTCGCTCTCACGCTCCATCGCTCACCTAAATCCCAATCCAGGTGTGTTTTTTATTGCTCTCCTCAGTCCTTCATAATCGCTCTTCCCAGCTGCGTATCTTATTTCCACAAAAAAATGTCAGAAATTGACAAAAATCGGTCGGCCTCGGCGAGTGTCATTCATGTTTACTTTTTAAACGCTTCCGATTAATTAGCTCCGTACCGAGTAATTTCATTGGATAATATTTATATATCTACACATACATACCCAATCAGCAATTCGGTATCATAATCGTTCACACGATCTAGTCTCGATTATCTAGGCATTTTAAAGGCTAAGAAATTGAATTAAATGTTCGGTCCTGGCTATGAAGACTACAGCTTCGTCATGACAACAGACACTTCCGCCCAGACCAAACGCTTTTTCACGCATCATGCTCGCATGGCCCTTTCATTTGTGGCGTTATTTTAATCGATGTTTACGAAGTCCTTCGCTTTTTTGAATATTATTATTCACGCCAGCTCTATATTTTCGTCTATGCCACCGGTGAAAGGAACAAAACATTGTGTGTCATTGAAAACTTTCAAAAGTTGGAACACTGGTGGAAAAATTGGATATATATAAATAATAATAACATAGGGATGGTTGATGCTTGTGGTTTAGCAAAGTACTAAGTTCTAGTCAGTTTATTATGTTTGTTTAAAATGTTTTTTTTTTTATTATTCTAGTCAAAATAAAAAAGAAACAAAATAGTAGCGATACAGTGTTTTATTCTTCAAATAAACAACATTACATGCGTCATCATCTGTACTTAATTCCAGGAGAGCGATTTTTAGTTTTTTCCAATCCCAGGAGAGCTTTTTTTTTAGCTCTCCATGATTTTTTAGACGTGAAGGCCTGGTGGATACATGTCATTCTGAAACTGAAAGTCACAGAATACTTAATATCTATTTGGTTTGCCCACTCATGACCAGAATGCTTTACACCATATTTGAAAAGAATCCTTTAAAAAATGTAGCCTCTATCACATTCACACAGTTTTTGGCACTGGTGGGGATAACCCAAAATACTTCAAACATATAGGACTTCTCCAAGCGACAGTTCTATTATTTTCCCCTTCCTTTACAATAGTTTTAGAAACAAAAATTGAACAAAACTTACCAAAGTTCCTGCAAGTATTCCAGCACCAAAACAATTCTGTTTGTCTAGTGTGATAAAATCATTTTCTCCTGATGTTAAAGGAATAATAAACACTTCCATGGTACCTATAAAGAAATGTTATGAGGAGATTAGTGGTTGAAACCCAGGGTGTCTAAAATAAACGTGAATTTAATGTAGCTAAGTCTGTAACTCAATATCATTCAAAATCTTCGACATTGAAAACATGAATTTTTGTGCAATTTAAATCAGCATTGGTGTTGTGATCTTCCCTGGAAAAGATTGGCTTCTGATATCCAATATTTAAGACAAAATAAACATTTTACCATTGGTACACGAATCGTGTACCATAATGCGTTTCAGCGCCATTTGTAACAAGGTGCTCAAAGAATGAGGCTAGACATATTCCACAAGTCATGTCAAACGGTGATATCATATTCTTATTTGGAGAGCATGCGCAATAAATAATATCGGTTTTGACTGGCATAACCAGACGCTAGAAACTGACTTGCGGTTGAGACTTCTGCCGTATTTCGCCGAACATAACTGATGACAATTCACAGTAAAACGGATACGATTGAATGTAAAACAGTTTATATAAATTCATATTACATTATTATGTGCGTTGCGACTCATTTGTGCCAATTTCTAGATCCAAAATATTAGAGATTTAGCCCCTTTAACTATGCAAATCAAATGCCAAAATGCAAAACTAATCAAAATACTGAACCATACAGAAGTTTCTTTAATGGTGTCACTGTCAGTCACTAAATAATCATGACAATTACTCACCCCGGTAACATCTAGACACTGTAAACACAGCACAGAATTTGAGGTTATGAAAACTGAAAGTTTGTGATCCTTCTAAAAAGTATCAAAGAGCTTGAGTTACCAAGCAATAAGATTACTTTTACGGTGTATTTACCTAGAAATGCTGTAATGAGACCACTGATAACCTGGAATATACCAATAACTTTTGGTAAAGCTTGAGGAGTGGTGGATAGATCATGTCTGTAATTTGGATCATCATCTGTAGTTATCTCATCATCATATTGTCTCTGGTACTGTATACTCATCTCTTCTACAAATCATACACCAATCACATAATCAAACAAATCAACATTAAAACCTACTTGGCCCTAATAGAAATTAAAGCTATGATGATTGAATATACATACAGCCACAGGTGACGAAGATAGACACAGTCGGTGACACACAGAAAGGGTGTTACGACTTGCGTAATCCAACAATTCCTCTTCTTATTTTGAGGATGATGAAAATAAATCAATTATTCTAAGATTAGCGCTTTAGAACTTCAACATACATGTATTACCTTTCAAAACGCGTTTCTTCTTATTTACTTCAGAAAAAAGTAGAGCAACACAAAAACCGGAAGTTTGGACTTTTATTAACACGTGATTAATGTTACGGAATGTAGATTTCTAAAACGAAACGAATAAAGAATTAAAATTTGAAGGCACTTTGTACTGACACGAAAAAGGGAGGCACGGTGGCTAATTGGACAAGACGCTGGTTCGCTAGCCCGTGTTCGATCCTGCATTGGCAGAGAAAGTTCATTGAGATTTTCCGACGTGGTTTCCCCTTGTCAGTGTTGCAGGGCGGAAGGCCTGACAAGGACAGCTGTCTAGTCGTTCAGCTAGATTTCCCATGTATACATTGGCGTGAACGTTAAAGATCCCTTGATCTGTCTTCATTAGCCCAGTCGGAGCAGAACAGTATGACGTTAAACCCCATTTAATTCCATTTCATTTACCGACACGGAAGTCAATAAAAATGGTTAGGACCTATTTAAATTCTAATCTCGAATACCGAAGCATAAAACTTTGAATAAAATAAAATGATGTATAACTTCAATTAATGGCAATATTTACATTTTAGTTTATTGATATGAATAATTTTAATTTGAAGAACCAATTTAACTCATTAAACAAAAAGTAAAATAAAGCTATCGGAGAGCCGATACCTTTGCTATGATTTTAGTGCTCAACCAATAAACTGCCTAACTCACCTGAATCCTGACCAAACAATCAATTGATTTAGTCCATGAAGCGTCAAGGGATGTTATGGGGCTCGTCCTTCCTGAGAAAATTTTGAAAATTTAACCGCCGTAAATACGTTTTTCTGCTATTCTAGCCCATGAGTTTTGCAACCGAAATCCCGCGGTCCCGCAAATGTATATATGTATTTTTATTATCATACGTTTCCAATATTGAGGAACCATCCTGCAGAGAAATGAAATGAGGTTAAGAATGCTTTGCCAAACCGGGAGAGAGGGTCCATTGTCGATATTTTGTTATTAAATAATCACATTGAGTAGGCTAAATATCAGCGTGGGTTAAGACGTGAAAAGTTAGATATTTCCGTAAAATTGAAAGTGCCAATTGGTGGCTTTGAATTTCTAACAAAACTGTTTAAACTTATATCTTCAGGGGCTGATACAGGGGGAGGTGCGGGGTGCCCCCACCCTTTACATTTTTATTGGCATTTTTTAAAAAAATATTATTACCGTCTCTACAGTAAATTTGATCCGGGTAAACACTGTTTACGATATTATCGCCATCAATTTATTTGTCAATTCTCTATATAAACTTACAATGGCATTTTCTATGTATCCTTATTTAGGGTTTTCGTAATACTAGGCTTACCCGACTAATCTGGATTGTCGAAACAGTGTGTGGAGAAGGTGGATGTGTGTGTGTGTGTAGGGGATGGGGGGATTTTAAGTACGATTCAAAAACGGCCCGGGGCGTGTACCGATGATTTAGAAAATTAAAATTTAATTACTGTTTTAAAAAAATTGTTTCGCATCGCTCGGCTCGGTTGGTAGTTTATACATAGAAACGAACACTTTGCTTTTATAGTACTAACGTTGCTTGACATATATAATAAACATTATTACAATTAACTGACTATACTGATTTGTCAATATATAAAATATTATAAAATCTCAAAAGGCACAATCAACATGTCCTTTATCACATGTATATAAAAAAGGTAGAAGTAGGCCTATATTTGTATATATCAAGAATCAAAGAGAGAGAGAGAGAGAGAGAGAGAGAGAGAGAAATGGGGTTTAACGTCCACTCGACACAAACTAGGTCATTTCGGGACTAACATATGGTTTTACTTTATTTCAATAATTCGCTTTCGCGTAGGGGTCTTTAGCAGTGGGAGGAAATCGGGGGACCCGGAGAAAACCCACGAGGTTGGACAGGCGACCCTACTCCTTGTCACGTACAACCGGGGATTCGAACCCACGCCAGTAGACTCAATGACAGGCTTTATGATACAGCGCGCACGTGCTAACCATTCAGCCATCCACCCCCCCCCCCCCCAAGATTCAAAGAGCTGGAAAAGTATTTCTTGACTGGGTCTGCTAGGGGTTCTTTCTTTTCTTAATCTCTGTGTCGGTAATGGCAGGTGTTTCCACATATGGGTAAGAAATCAAAACTCGCTACGAACAAATGAAATGAAAATAAAAATGTCACAAACTGACGTAAAGTGCAACAAATTGCACATTTTTTTAGTCCACTTTGCTATGGTTTTCTTCTCTGAAAAATCGCACGAAACGGTGCCAGAGATCTTTTCAATTAGCTTGTCATTATATTGTTTAGAAAGTCATAAAATCTGAAATGGCAAAACCAATATCGGAAATGTAGTTTTATATCAAGTTTCAAAGAATGAATTCATTTGGCTGAGAATGCTAGGGATCTTTCTTTTATTTATCGGGAATGGCCTAATTAAGAATGCCAAACTGTTTAAGTGTAACAAATTACACTGTTTAGTTCAGTTGACGTGAGATAAAATGGTAAGAAAAGGGTTCTTTTGCATCGCGTCACTCGGAAACAAACTCAGTTGCACCCCCGCCCTTCACCCCCCCCCCCCCGCACCACACACACACACACACACATTTAGCAGAATTCCTGTATCCGCCCCTGCATCACCATACAAAAATCAAAGCTTAAATAATCATTTTGGGTACATCTGAGCGTTGATTAAATATAAAATATGCATTATGTAAGAGCTAAATTTGTCTATAATAGGTTTTCATTTTGGTTTCAGATGTTATATACAGTATTATTTCGATATTAATTCACATGGCAAGCCTATGTCCTATTGCAGGTTTTTTTGGTTTCTTTTTTTTTGGGCGGGGGGGGGGCTAAATGTTATCTAAATTATTAATTAGACATTAATTAACTTATCCAGACCATAATCAACTCTCGATGTATCGCTAGCCTGCGATATTACTGGATTATGATCCGATCTGCTGCTCAACGCTCATTCATGATTAAATCAAGAAATGGTTTTTTTTATCGTACCGACTTTAATAATGATGATCGAAGCTAGGCCCAAAATTCAATCGCTAAATTCTCTGTTCAGAGTGGATGAATTTCAGTGAAATCTTTAGCAAATTCACTTTACATTATCTAGTTTTTAACTATTATAGTGAGAACTGACAGCTCTTTATCTAATCTCCAATAAAATACGATCGCCATTTAATGATTTATTTTAAAAATGGAGATGCTAGACTGCGTCTCGATTAACGTTGCTACGATAATAAGCAATCTGTCAAAACTTCAAGTAGTGATTACGTTGCTCAGAATAAAGTAATTTGAATGAATTTTTCAATATATTAATTTTGAATTATCTATGTTGGAACTACATGTATTATAACAAATACTACCAGCCCTTTATCCAAACTTTACACATGCGTCTTTAAGCCGTGAAAGATGTTGTCTAAAAAAAATGCAAATGACGATAGCGGCTTTAAAAAAGAAGATAACTATACATATATTATCCTTTGACAACTGTACATAACTTTATGTACGTCCAAAGTCCAAAGGGTGGCATGATTCGATTATTAGGTAGACGCCTTTATTGGTTTGGATTTCTAAATAAAGGGACAGTTTGCTCAACAAATTTTTTTATAAAAACAGAAAAAAGGGTGTCTTTCAGAAGGGTAAATAGAGTAACGATGTGATTTTGCGTGAAAGCCGATAATTCTATATAGGGATGATGTTCTATGCAAAAAAAAACAACCCAAGATTTGTTTGACGCAAACATTTCATCATCAATTATACAGCCTTTGTCAATGATGCAAGACCCGGGGCATGGCCGGGAAAGGTGTATAGTCGTTCGAATGACACGAAAGCAGAGGTCACATGGACAAGTTGGTGTAGATGTGCCACGTAAAATAAACCTTATTTGAATTTCCGCGTCTAATACAAAATTTCCCTCACGTCACACAGTATAATGGCGTATCCGTCATCAAACAAGTGGGCAGAAGACATCGAACCTGATTTCATTTCACCTTTGTCTAAAGTTGTACTGTATTGAAATATCCAAATAATGTCGAATATGAAAAGGTCAAAAGCCAGCCTACCGAAGTTAGAAATTTTTTTTTTTCATTCACCCAGGATGTAGTATAGATCTATATTTGTGACAAATTTTGCACACAATCTAATGACTTTTCGTCGACAATGTCAAATAGAAGACAAAGAATTTAATTGAGGGATAGGACGGGGTAAAATGTCATTTACTCTTCTCTTATTTATCTATAATTAAATACCCATTAAATGGGCGTATAACTCTGTTTTTTGGAACCTGGAAAAATCGAAAAGCTCATATTATTGTAATATGAATGTATATAAACTGATTAAATTCTAAGTTGTTATAGAAATTTCTAATCAGTTAAAATCGGTGAAACTTATCTCTTAAATTACTTTCCCATTGACTTGTGGGATATATTTGCGTTTTCATATACATGGTGCTCAAGGCCATAGAGAACACGACTTGGGGGACTGATTTTACAATGTTCACTGTGTCTTAAATATTGGATATAAGGCGCCCATTTTCATGGTAAGATATCTGCAATATCTCTGATGGAAGCAGACGTTAAAGTAGGCTATTTCACACACCCATGGTAAGATAACAACGCAAATATTCATAACTAATACCGAATTCGAATTCGTGTTTATACTGTCCAATATTATGGATAATATTGGGTCAAAGCTATACACCCTTTATAAATGTTTTGTTTTTTTACATCCACACTACTACTAATTCTTTTTTTTTTTATAAATAAACCCCAAAATATTTATTATGTACGTTTTGGATACACAAAGGGAGAGTGGGTACGGACTCCATCCCAACGAATAAACCTTTCAAAATGTGTGATTTAGCACCAGGAATCCGAACGCTTCCACTAACAATAAATGGTAGCAGACTGACGGGGGTGGCCCCAAGGTCCTGGGAGCCCCCGACCAAGGTGTACAATATTATTTTTGACAGTCATAAGCCTTTCTTAAACGCACTGCAGTCTTTAAACATCCGTCATCATCCCCGGCGTTGCCCAGGGCCGGATTATGCCCGGTCGCGAGGGGGCCCCTGGTTGAAAATCTCAATGGGGCCCTTAAATGCATTAACAATGAAAAGCGACCATATTCTGGCCATTGTCCGTCGAACTCACACAAATGCTATTTGTATGTCAGTTTGGAAGTAAGAATATAGATTTATCTGGCAGAAACAATAGCCTATACACAAGTGAAGTACATTTAAATAAAATCATAAAATTATAAATTATATGTTTTATATAAGAACTTAAATTTCAGGGTCCTTTTTCATCCGGTCCTTGGTATTGCTGAATTGTGCTTAAAACATAGGCTACTTTCATCGTCCTCTAGTATCTAAATCCGACCTGATAATAGGAAATGACAAGATTTTGTCAAGAAATTTATTTACTGCAAGATTTCTATGTAGGCGGAGCCAATAAACATGTGGGCGTGTTTTATCTACCAAAGCTAATCAAACAGCGCGCAACCTGGCGCATGTGCGAAAACCTTTTAATATGTCAATCCAGACCAGAGTAAGCGACTGCCCACGTTTGTCGAATCGTTGAACTTTGCACCTAATTTATAACAATTTCGATCTGTTAACTTTCCACGACATGTCTACTCAAATGGCAACTGATCTCTCTAAATCCGCTATTACCGAAAACACCATGGTTGGGTTCATTGGTGCAGGACGAATGGCACAAGCCATGGCAAAGGGCTTTATTTCATCCGGTAAGGGGAACTAACTCTTTATTTACAAAAAATAAACACATCCACGTGTGTCAATAATAATATAATGTCAATTTGATCTAATTGTTATTTTGATTTATCAGCTGATTTTTCGTGTCTGAAGACATTTTTTTTTTACTGTTCAGTGTAAATTCGATACCTGCCTTTGAGTTTAACTTCATTTGAAATTTCTTTTTTATGGCCATTTTTGCACGAATTTTGAAAAAAATACAACAGTGGCGAAATATTTATTATTTTTTATTATTTTGAATGAAACGCGAAATGGCAGCAGCCCAGACGAGATGATTCAAAGTACATATAACTATTACATGTATGTCAATCTTAAACATGATTTAAATTTAAAAAAAAACAAAAAAAAAACTTAATCCTTATCACTAATATATAAAAGTATGACAATACTATATACCGGAAAAACACTGGAAAACTACCAGAAAACACCATGTTATACTGAATACCGGAAAACACTCTAAATAGGTAACCCGGAGCCTGGTCCTCTGTCTGTGGGGGGTTAGGGTTAGGTTTTTCCCCTGTTTTCCGGTATTCAGTATAACATGGTGTTTTTCAGTAGTTTTCTGGGTGTTTTACAGTATATAGTATAGCTCTAACAGTAATGAAAGGAGGATAGAAATGGGCATACACAGATATTTGATAGTGGCAGTATAGGGAATTACATCAGTCTGTCAGTATTTAATCTCTTAATATAGCCAGATAGTCCTTGATCAGTGCAACATACTGATAACATTGACAGGTTTGATTAAATTATCAATTGTAAATAAATTGAAGCACCTTGGATGATCTCAATAAATAATGTTTTCTAAACAAAAAGGTAATTAAAAAATCTTATATACTGGTTGGTGATAGTATATAGATTTACATTTACCTTAGCAATTGATGTTCATCATTAAAATAATTCATGAGTTGAAATTCAGATACTTTGGTCTGTCCACAATTCTCCCTTGCAAACCACAAATGTTATTAAATCTCTCAACTGATTATGAGTGCAAAAAATGGTTAAATTTCATTCAATGTCCAAAGATATTTGGGTCTCCAAATTGAGCAATGTACCTTTTACTGAGAGATTAGAATTTTCAACAAGAAAATAAATATAACTAATTTCATTTATCATTAAAATTAACCCTAGAATCCACTAATTATCAAAAATTGAAGGACTTGTATATTTAGATCAAAGCATAGTTAACAGGCATTTGCTGAACTTTTTACAAAATCACTACGGGCTATGATTTAATTTATAGTTCTCTGTGGCCTTGATCAATAAATAACCCACTCAATTCTTCTGTGCAATGTTGTCTTAAAGTTAAAGGACAATATTGGTGTCAGCCATTATCACCTGTCATAGAACTGGTTAAACATGTTCCAAATATAATTTTAACACAGAGATCATTGCTACCTAGATGCATTTCTTTAAATTATATTTGGAAAGTGTTTAACCAGTTCTATCACATATGTGTTAATGGCTGACACCAATATTGTCCATTAAAATTTTAAAATTGAGATATGTTGAACTAAAAACTTCTGAGAAGAGTAACTAAATACTTTTTTTTTTAAAAAAAAGTAATTTTTAATACGCCTACATTGAAATTTAGTTGTAAATTATCATCACCCCTGTCTGTCCGCCTGTTGTCCACAATTGCTTGTGGATGCTCTAGAGGCTAAAGTTAGTATCCTATTCACTTTAAATTTATACACTTAAGGTCATGAGATGAAGAATCCTATTGATTTTCAACAATTTACGATAATTACTGCTAGAGTTATGGCCCTTGAATACTTTGAAATATCTTTTTGATTCTTTGGAGACCACAGTTATCATCTGATTGACAAAATTTTATACAGTGTTTAAAGATACATTAGCTAAGAGTTTAATAAAGGGTTGGTCATTCTTGCTATAATAATTAAAAAATAGATGATGAAAAAAGAAAATATTGAAAATTTCATTCAAATTACTTCATTCTCAGCCAAGTTATCATTGTTTAAAGTTTTGACAAGATGCCTGCACAGTGGTAACCAGGGCACTGGTATAATCAGGACTTAGCCTCGCTTTCCCATTTTTAAATTAAATTTTTAAATGGCGAACTGTTATAATCTAGTTAAAATCTTGAGTATCCGATGCCATTGAGAGTCGATTATGGTCTTGTTTCGTTAATAAATGTCTAATTCATAGTTTATATAACATTTCAGGCCTAAAGAAAGACCTGCAATAGGCAGATTTAGCTCTTGCATAGTGTATGTTTACGGTCATGAGAAAAAGAACCCTATTGATTTCAAAGATTTCTGATATGGCTCTTGATTCTTCATCTCTTTGAAAAAGCTTGTGGACAGGAGATGAGACAAAGAAATCTATAAACTTTCAAGAATTTGATTTCTGATAACTTGAACAGCATATAAATTCACGATATTGCATGTTTTGTATATAAAACATTAGCATGGGCCAAACACATTCTGATCATTACTGAATGGGTTAGTACTCTTGATCAATTTTTAGTATCCTGTTGTTTCATTACTGACAAAAGATAAAACATCCGACAACCCTTGTTTATTGCTGTGGGCATATGTTTCATTGCATGGCAACTTTTATTTTCCTGAAGAAATTGGAGGCAGAATTTTTAATAGGTGTGGCCGGATTGATTGACATAGCCGTTTTAACTTTTGCATGCAAATAGTATTGCATACTCCATTCATAAAAAATCTAAATTATATTTTATCCAACCTGGCATAAATCTCATATTCTAATGTCCCTTTAAAGGAGCTAAATCGCTAACATTTGGGACCTAGAAATTGACAAAAGTGGTCGCAACGCATATAATACTGTAATATGAATGTATATAAACTGATTTACATTCAATGGTTTCCGTTTTTACTCCAATTTCAAATCAGTTATGTTCGGTGAAATAAGCCAGCAGTCTCAAGCGAGTGCAAATTTCTAGCGTCTGGTTATTCCAGTCTACATACGCCGTTTGATTTGGTGCAATGTGTCTAGCCTCGTCCCTCGAGTCTCTTGATACAACTGGGGCTGAAGCGCATTATGGTACACGATTCGTATACCAATGGTAAAATGTTTATTTTGTCTTAAATATTGGATATCAGAGGCCCATCTTTTCCAGTAGGATCACAACATGAATGTTGATTTAATTTGACAAATAATTCGTGTTTTCAATGTTGAAGATTTTGGATGATATTGAGTTAGAGACTTAGCTACTTTAAATTAAGATAATTCATGTCCAAAAATGTTAATTATTTGCACCAGTGTGTCAATTGTTTATTAAACCCCATTTAATTTCATGTTAATTGTTTACATGTACTTGTAAATTAATACTTGTTTAAGAATAGTTGTAGCTAGAATAGTGGCAGTCAATTTTCTCACTCTTTGTTGCTTTCATTATTATTATCAATCAATCTAGAATTACAAATATTACTGAAAGTATAAGTAGTTAATGAAGTTGTTATATTTCACTGATAGTATTTAAGAGATAACTTATGTCAGTTTAGGAATCTCAAGGGTCAAAAGGTCAGTGATAATGTCTTTCATTTACACATTTCTTTGTTGTTAGTCTCATTACTCAATGGAAAGTTTTGGTTTAAATCAGGGAAAATTTCCCCACAGTAAATGTTACTACATGGTTACTTACAATCACTGGAGGGCATGACAATAGGGATTCTTCTACAATCAGGGTATGCAATTAAATGTGGTTTTTTTTGTTTCTTTTTGAAGACAGGCCGTCAGTACATGGATTTTTAAATATATGGTAATTTAGTCTTCAAAATTATAAAAGTTATTTTGCTTTGTAAAAGGAATGATATATCTTAAAGATACCTTCCCACAAAAGCATTTATCAGGTGGTTATTTCCAATAAAAGTATTGCAAATTTGGTGTATATGGAAAGTAGAGACGGCCTATCTTACTAGAAAAATACTGGATTCCTTGAAAACCACCCATGGAGCGCATACAGGAAAAAAATGAGAGGGTGTCACTAATTGACAGCCCCACGATTAAGGGCACTCTGCTCAAGTGACGTCAAAGGTTGCATGCGTAGGTTGTCTGACCTCTTTGATGTATATATCGATAAACTTGATTGTGAGCGGACTTGGAAAAATTGAGAGACTTGAGCATATAAGGGTTTCTGAGATAAAAAACGTAGAAAAAAATGTGGGCAGGGGTAAGTCCAAGATTGGCACTCGTTGCTAGTTACCGGTTACCGCCAAGTCACGTGACATAAACATGACATTTTTTTATAGATTTTTTATAGCTTGAGGTATTTCGTCGCAAAGGAATCCCTTGCAAACTACAATATTGTAAAAGATGAATCTCTAATATGAATATCGATTCAAAAATGGTTAAATACCTTTCAGTATTGATGAAGATACGTTGAAAAGAAATTTCATCAATCTGCAGTGCTGCTCGCTATGTAATAAGCTTACCACCATTTTGTTGTGGGTGATCAGAATTGTTATATGTAGGCCTATTTTAAATCTGACAAGCGTTGATTTTATAAATAAATGTTAAACATGTATTATGCAAGAGCTAAAACTGTCTATTGCAGGTCTTTCTTTAGGCCTGAAATATTATCTAAATTATTAATTAGAATTCGACATTGATTTACTGATCCAGGTTATGAACAACTCTTGATGCCATCAATGGCCTGTGATCTTTAGGTGATTTGAATACATTTTGTGATGGATAATTTAACGTAAAAATGGATAATCGAGACTTTGTTAATTATAGAACCAATGTTAGTAATGATGATCGAGGCTTGCCGAAAATTGAATCTTTAATATCTTGGTTCAGAGTGAAGCAATTTTGCTGAAATTTGTTTCATAATGTCCTGTCATCTCTTCTCACGAACAGATCTTTGTGTATTAATTATAATATGGCAAGTGTAGTGTTGTTAATATGTGTCATTAATCATTAATCAATCCGACTAAAGTTGCATAGACATAGTGTCATAAATATATTTACACCTCGTTGT